TGAGTCTTGGCAACTCTTTTCTTAGGTGACCCTCTGGCATCACCAGTTAACGTTCCCCAACCATAAGGCTGCTTCATCCCACGAAGAGAGAGATGCTGGAAAGGTACTGGGGCCGCACAGAGAGGCTGGAAGGCCCAGCCCTCCCAGCACGTGGTGTGTCACACAGTCTGCCCGCTGGGTGTAACGAGTGGTGCCCACCAGATAGGAGGAACTCGGAACTTTGGGCCTGTTTCCTTACATCAAATGAGATTTAAGCCCAAGTACATGACATCTTTATGATTTTATGATCATTTTAGTGATTCTTTGCTGCCAGTGAAGTCTTGAGGCGCCCCAAAATCCACACACCCAAACCTCCTGCCCAGCTGGGTGGGTTCAAGTGTTGAGCACATTTGTCGCGTGGGACAGACCGGAGGGCACAGAGCTGGGGACGCCCCTCCCACTTGCCGGGCGGCCTGCCAGGCGCACAGCCATTCTCCACGAGGGGGTTAGACCTTGAGCAGCACTTTCTTTTCTTTTTTTTTTTTAAAAAGGGCTTCAAATGCTTGGCTTTTTAAAATTTATTTATTTATTTTTGGCTGTGTTGGGTCTTCGTTTCTGTGCGAGGGCTCTCTCTAGTTGTGGCGAGCGGGGGCCACTCTTCATCGCGGCGCGCGGGCCTCTCACTATCGCGGCCTCTCCTGTTGCGGAGCACAGGCTCCAGACGCGCAGGCTCAGTAGTTGTGGCTCACGGGCCTAGCTGCTCCGCAGCATGTGGGATCCTCCCAGACCAGGACTCGAACCCGTGTGCCCTGCATTAGCAGGCAGATTCTCGACCACTGCGCCCCCAGGGAAGCCTGAGCAGCACTTTCTGATGGCTTCAGCCAGCCTGGCGTCCTCTGCCCGCTGCAGCAACTCACCTGCTGCCCCGCGGGTTCCTGGTGCTGCAGCACCTGAGCAGGCAGCCCTGCCCTCGCTAGCCCGGGCCAGCGCTCAGCCTCCCGGGGTGCAGCACACCCTGTGGGAGGCCGGCAGAGCCAGGCAGGGCTTCCCGAGCGTGTGACCTTTGTCCTCAGGGCCGTTTCATTTAAATTTGGCTCGGTCACCTTCTAGTCCTCCGCTTCCCCGGGTGTGATGCTGCCACTCTTCCTTGTCATTCTCCTGCACGCCGGGGTCTTGAGGTGCAAAAGCCTCGTGCAGGTGGGATGGACGGTCTTCCTTTGATACCTTCTGTGCTCATGTATCTAATGCTGTGAAGTCATGGGTTCTCCTGAGAAATCTAGGTAAGGCATCACTGCCTGCTTTATTAAAAACACTTCAGGGACTTCCCTGGTGGCGCAGTGGTTAAGAAACCCGCCTGCCCATGCAGGGGACACAGGTTCGAACCCTGGTCCGGGAAGATCCCACATGCCGCGGAGCAACTAAGCCCGTGCACCACAACTACTGAGCCTGCGCTCTAGAGCCCGCAAGCCACGACTACTGAGCCCGTGTGCCACAACTACTGAGCCCGTGCTCCACAGCAGGGGAAGCCACGGCAATGAGAAGCCCGCACGCCACAACTAGAGAAAGTCCGCGCGCAGCAACGAAGACCCAGTGCAGCCAAAAGTAAACAAAATAAATAAATTTTAAAACAACGACAACAACCGAAAAAAAACCACTGCGGAAGTTTGTTCTGGAGCATGTCACCTGCTTTTCTGTGTCCTGATTTGGAATGATGGACAGGTTTATGTCAAAACAAATCTGAAATGCAGTTCAACGCCAGAACGTTCTTTCTCCAAGCCCAGGGGAATGGGTCTGGCTGCTTCTCAGGGGTCACGACTCCAGGAGAGCTTCACACAGGGCTCTCCGACACACTGAGGTTCGGGGAGCATCCCCGAAGGTGGTACACTGTTGTCCTGTTTGTTCCTACAGGGTCCTTGGGGTTGCCGACAGTTGCATATTTCTTGAAAAAAAAAAAACCCTTAAACCAAACCATACATGACTTTATGTTTGCTGTATAAACGTACCCATGCTCTCCACTGCTATGTTAAAAAGCTCAACAAAGCCAAATTCATTCTCCAGCCACTAGCCAGCCCTCTTGTGCCAAGTTTAAAAAGAAAAAGAAGCGAAAGGGCTCCAGTGTCACAGTATTGGCCTGAGGATTACTCTTTTTTTTTTAAGGTATTTTTGATGTGGACCATTTTTAAAGTCTTTATTGAATTTGTTATGACGCTGCTTCCGTTTTATGTTTTGGTTTTTTGGCGGTGAGGCATGTGGAATCTTAGCTTCCCTACCAAGGGTTGAACCCACACCCCCTGCACTGGAAGGCGAAGTCCTAACCACTGGACCGCCAGGGAAGTCCCAGGATCACTTTTATTGAGGACGTCCTGGGAGGTCTCGGGGGCATTGCCCTTGATGTCGCCTCTGCACTGGCCCTGCGGATGTTGGGACAGTTGTCTCTCGTCTCCATCTGCCGCGCTGGCTCTCTGGCTGCTCTCCTGGGGGCTGGGCTCCCACTCAGTGGTGCTTTCCGGAAGCAGTGGCCACAGGCCTGTGCATTTAGTGTTAGGTGAGTTGCTGGGCTCCCAGGGAGACGTGAATGTAGGATTTAAATGAGTGTGGGCCACGGAGCCCATAATTATCGGGGTGTCAGGGTTCGTCGGTAGGAAGCCTGGAGAAACTCCTCCATAATAAGAGTGGCCGTTAGTGATGCTGTGATACTGTCACACCACAGCTCTTTCAGGGACGAGCAGAGCAAGGCTAGAGGAGAGGGCAGGGCAGAGAGTAAATTTCATTGTATTGTAGAAACGGAAATTTGTGTCATGGCTTTAAAAAGCTGGTTTTATGTGTGTGTTTAATGCCATTCATTTTAAATGTAGTATCATAAATCCTTGCTTCAGAATCAAAGCTGTTTAATTACATTTCACCCATGAATAGTTATCTAATGCCAATAGAGAAAGAGTTAAAAAGGAGAACTACAGAGTGAATCAGAGGTTGAGATCTTTAGCACAGGCATAAAAAATCAATTTAAGATGAATTTTACTACTATAAAAATTCTTCAAGTATCCTTTTAAGAGTGGGAAGTGCTGAGAAACACAGCTCACATTTCAGTTCCCTTAGCAACCCAGAGGAAACGGCTACCAGCGTGGGCAGCGCCCGGGATGCCCACAGCTCCGTGGCCTTTGTTAGATACCCCTGAGCGAAGCAGGGCATCTGAGTAAGAGGTTGTAACTCCCCAAGCAAGCAGGTCACTGGTGGGTCCAGAGCCCCCTGCCTCCCAGGTTAAGATGCCTGTCCCCTGGACTGTATGCCTCCCACCCAGGGAGCCCCATTTGCAGGGTGTGATTGCTGAGAAGACCCCTCAAACCCTGGAGACCACCGAGGCCTGTGTGGCACCCATGTCCGCTGCCCTCCCCCACCAGCACCCCACCCCACCCCACCCAGCTCTGCAGGAGGTGCCCTGCCAGGATGGCTGGCGCCCCCCGGTCCTGAGGTGTCCCGGTCCCTCTCCTGCTTCCTGCGTGGGTCGAGGGCAGTGACGTCTGCCCCTTAGCTCTGCTCAATCCCGGTTTGAGCAGGTGTTGCGCATGGGCCGCTGGGCCGCTGCCCTCTCACAGCCTGTGGTAACGTGTGTGCTCACAGGGCTACGTGTGCTCTGCTTTGTCCCCTACTTACTGAGTAAGTAGGGAACAGAGCAAGAGAGTCACTGGGAGCTTCTCTCTGTCGCGGAAAAATATTTAAGCCAAGCATGGGGTAGAAGTCCCCCACCTTTCCGTGGGCAGACGTCCTAATGGGGAGAGCAGTCAGGGCAATGAGAAGATAGTCTCCATCTCCAGAAGTCTCTCCAGGATGCCATTATGCCACCTGTTCCACTAGACGCCGCTCTCTGCCTGTGGACTGAGCCCCCATCCTTCAGGGTCTCCTGTTGACCAGACCCTGAAAGGGCCCTGTCAGTTCAGGGCCAACCGAGGGCCCTGTGCATGGGGATTCCCTTTCCCAGCAACTCCTAGAAGCTGGCAACTTGGAGAAGGCCTGAGCCTGCCCAGTCCAGCTGTGTTGCTGGCAGGATCGCCCAACTGGCCAGCTCTACAGAGCTGGCGTCTCAGTGGTCGCCCTCTCCTTGGTCATCTTGAAGGGCTCATCCTCTCCTTGGTCATCTTGAAGGGCTCATTTCTTCTTTTCCGTTCATTCCCTGGTTCCTTCCTTAAGGCCATTCACATTCACATGCTTAGAAAGCCTTCCCTGACCCACCTCTCATTCCATTGTGGAAGAGAGTGGATCCCATCCAAGGAGGCTTATTTCTGGGAAGATCCAAGACCTCTGGAGACCCTTAGACCCAGAAGCCAGCTCAAAGCCACAGAGCACATGGAACCGTGCTGGTCTGTTGTTGAAATGTGGTGGGAGGGGTGGGTGCCTGCAGGCTAATTACTTTGATGGTATCGAGTTCTGGAAAATATTTTCTAAGATGAGTACTGAGTACTTGGTGATTCTACAGATCAAAACTGATGCAGGTGATAGTCTTAGGAAGGGACAGGCACCCCCCGCTGGAGTTGCTTCCGTGCTCGTCATCCTCGTGCTCTCACCTGCCTGCTCTGCAGGGTGACTGCAGACACTCAGCCCCAAATAGAAGAGCTCAGGTACCGGGCGTCCTTCCTGGGCACTGCCTCTTTCCAGAGATCGTGTCCTCACAGCTGGAGG